ACATCAAAGATAAGGAAGTTTCCTGCCAAACCATTTGTTGGGAAGGACAGGCCAGGGAACCGAGATGAACTTGTCTGTGCCAGGTGCTTGCAAATCTACCCTTGTCCAATGTTAGTGAAAAATAAAAACAAAGCACTCCGCCACCCCAGGAGTTTCTTAAAACTTATAAAACCAACCAAATGCAGAAGTTTTAAAACCATACTCAACACTAGGATTACTCCAATCACACAAAACAGCAGTGAATCCGGCTTTTATTGCTCAAGTGGAACAAAACTTCAAGAGATAAAAACACAATTTGTGGGTGTTCCCTTCACCCGCTGACAGATGTAATACAGCCATTTTGAAACCATTTGTAAATGCCTTTTTTTTTTTAAACTATGCCATAAAGCCTGCCAAGAGAAGTATTTTGTGTGTTTATTTAATTTTTACTATTTTTTTTTTAAAAACTGAAGAGTAAAAAGTAAACTTTTCTTCTCTTGCAGGGTAAGTATCCCATCTCACGACAATCTGCTGTGTTCGCCTTGGACAAATAGCTGCTGTATTTCCTGCCTTGCTTAACAAATAGGTGCTATTAGTCCTCAAAGGTGATCTGACAGCATTCACTTCAGCGACACTGTTGTGTGTGCGCATATGCACATAGTTGATGTACAGCTTTATAATGCAAACCATATTTATTTTTCTTCCTAAAAATGTAGTATATTTTTAAACTTTTCAGCACTGTGAAAACGGATATCTTCTGACCTTAAAATCCAAAGAGCATGTTCAAACCCACAAGAGGAACTAATTTGGGGCGTTTGATTTATGGCTGAAATTTCAATTTGAATTTGTTTTAAGTGTAATCACCAACTGAAACTCTGGCAGCTCGGTGTTTTTTAGAAAATAAATACAAATATTCAGTGTGTGTCTGCATTCTAAAGAGAGCGTTTTACAAGCCCGGTCCTGCAGCGGGAACAGATGTAGATTTGGGCTAGCTAAGACATTAATTTGGTACACAGGTACAAAGCGTGAATGAAAGCATAGGAGAAAGTGCCTGTGTGTGTGTATATTATATGCCTGTATCTGAGAGACAGAGCGTCTGTTTTTTTTTTTTTTTTTTTTTTTTTTAAGAAAAACCCCAAAGTGACAGAACAAGAGCAAAAGGAATAGTGGCCAAGGAGGCATGGGGGGATTACAAGGATTTAGGTCTTTAAACTGCGGACCACCTAACAAGATCACTCCGAAATGCCACTAATTTCAGCTAAGGCCACAGACCCCCCTTCCTCTGCCCTCCCTCTCCCCCCCATTGTAAACAACTAATCCCAGCAGAAAACAACAGAGAGCAAAATGTACACACATTCTGCAACATTCCAGGTCCCGCTTTATCTTTTATTTATTTTTCTAAAAGGTCAGCGTATGTATGGCGCAAAGAGGGGGAGGGGAAGAGAGCCAAAAAAACCTCAAGTCCATCTCTTGTGTGGGCTCGGAGGAAGCCGGCAGAAAGCAAAGTCCAAGAGCGCACACTATGAGGCTTTTACAGCGCGGCCGCTCCAGGCCCCCGCGCGCCTCCCGCCTCCCTCCGCTTGTGGCAAAGTCGCATAGCTTCAAACCAGAGGACAGGGTGGTCGATCACATCTGAGAGAAATGTAAAGAATTGAGAAAGAATTCCATCTCCTGTCGAAATTATAAATAAGGAAGTATTAGTCCCCGAGACAGGCTGATTTATGCAGCCCTGGAACTGCTGGCTTTCGGGCCGAGTATCAGCCTATAAATCAAACTCCTAAATCAAGGGTGTCAATCGCCGTGGTGCTGAGATGCTTTGCGAGAGAAAGGCGGTTACCCCCGAAAGCAGGACGGCTGCCAGGGCACGAGGTGCCGTACCTCTTCTTAACCCTCTAAAGTGTAAATCTGAGATCAAACATCCTGGGGGGAACGGGAAATCCAGCGAGGGAGTGCTGGGCGCACCGGGAGCGAGCTGCGGGCCACAGCCCCCTAATTACAGGCTGCCCGCTGGTTATTTAGGGCTCTGTGATTAAAGTGATGAACGCGCCTGGGAGAGAGGGGCTTAAGTAACCGAGGTCAAGCCCTCACGGGCAGCTCTTGCCCCGCTCGCGCAAGCTTGGGGAGGTATGAATGTCGCAGGTCTGCCGCGCGGCAAAGCGCCTGAAATGCCCAGGGAAGTTATCCCGCCCGCCTAGTTTAATCCCATTGTGCCCAAGGATCGACATCGTCTCCACTGGGCAGCAAAGGCAACAAGGTGTCCAAAATGTAATGCTGAAAAATATAAGCTGGAGGGGAGGAAAGAGCCTGAAGCTGAGGGCAGCCGGCTGGGAACGTTCTGCCATGCCAGGGAGTCCAGTCTCCTGCCCCTTCGTGTGAGCTACGAAGCAGGGACTCATTCAAGAGCTAAAAGCAGAGGGTTAACAAGCCTCAGCAG